TGTATTTACGAACGGATTCGTCCACAACCAGCAGTTTTCGCCTCTACGCATCTCTTCCATCGATATGTTTCTACGTTGTCGTTCTGTCACTCTCTCATAAGCGGACGAGGACACGAGGACAGCCGAATTCAGAACATAGAAAACAAAACTAGCTGATGTGGTCAAATCCTACCGGATTTGAGGAAGAGTTTCATTTTTATTTAGTAAAGTGTATTTTAGATTTTAAAAATAATGTTTATGTCAGTTCGAGTAGTTTCAGGTCGGTTCAGGTCACTTTAGACCACTTCGGGTTACTTCGGATTACTTTGGCTTGAAGTAAAAAGAAAGTGTTAAATGTATTGACTTGATTTTCAAAAGAAGAAAAATTCTTAAGGAAATGTTTAAATTTAGTTGTAAAAATGTCATTCGAGACGTTTCAAAACATCGTGCTACAAAAGACAGTTGGGGAGACTAAGAAAGTGTCAGATGTACTGGATTAAAAAATTTCTAGACTTGCAAAAAACATTTAAAAATCTCTTAAARGAATGCTTAAATTMAAAAAATGTCATTCGAGACGTTTCAAAACATCGTGCTACAAAAGACAGTTGGGGAGACTAAGAAAGTGTCAGATGTATTGGTTTAAAAAATTTCTAGAGTTGCAAAAAAACGTTTAAAAATTTCTTAAAGCAATGCTTAAATTTAAAAAGGCATTTTACTAAATTCATTCGCATCACTCGAATAAAATAAAAAAATACACAACACATAACACACTATTTCATATTTGATTCGCCTACACTTGATAATTATCAAATTCTCATCGTCTGTCTGTTTCAGAAAAAAAACTCACATTTACCTAAAATCACTGCTGCCACTTGAAAAAATTTAAAAAAATACACTTCACTTGTGGACAAATCCTGTTGGATATGACTAAGAGTTTCATTTTTATTTAGCAAAGTGTCTTTTAGACTGTGTAAAATAATGTTTGGGGCCCGTTGGGACTCAGAAGGCTGCGCCTCCGACTGGGGCTTACGGGGGCCGCACCTCCGATTGGTACTTACGGGGGCTGCGCC